ACATTTTTCTGCCTATATATCACTCATGTAAGATAAGTAAATTATGTAAAAAGCATCCCCCATAAGCGCTGGGCTGTGTATAAATGAAAAGGCTGCTGTGATTTCATGTATGTACTGAATTTGTGAAAAATAGTGAATCAGCAAACCACTGCTATGTTGTTTTCCTAGATCTAGTGGCAAGCTTTAGATTTTGCCTGTCTGGAAAAGAAAGGTATTTCAATGTCTGAAACTACTCATCTGGCTACTGAAATTAACTGTGACAATCAGTCACTGCAAGTACTATTTATCTAAGAAGTCACTCTCTTAAAGCAGTAAATATAAAATTACTGAGAGCTGAAGGCTCTATAGTAAATTTTGACAGACAGGTACTAGAAAATAACTTGCTTTTTTTTTTCTCCTTTTAGCTCTTAGAAGCTTGCAGCCTTTGGCATGCTGGCTAGGGCGGCTGCAATGCGCTCCTCCTTTGAGAAGGTTGCACCAGTTCTCCGCCTGCTTTCACTCTGGGCCTGATCCATGGCTTGGTGAAGATAATGGAAGTCTTTCCAGGGACTTCTGTGGGCTTTAATATCAGTTTTAAGCTAAAGGTCTACACTTTGCAGGAGTTTAGCAGGCACTTCTGGCAATGTAACACCAATGCCAACAGAGGAAGGAAACTGCTTTTTAAAGTGCAGTAAAAACCCTAAAGCGACTTTGATTGGGAATTAGGCTATAGTGCACTGGTGTGGTGCCTTGCTAGAGTACCGTGCCTAGCTAGCACCAGCACTCCTGCATGTGCCTTCTGGACTTGCAGAGGTTTGCGGTCTCCTGATCCCTTGAATGACCTGGCTCGGCCGAGATGACGCAAAACCAGGGTGAAGGGTAGCCCTGGGGAGAAAGAACTTGAAGTGCTTGTGTTAGATGGAGCCCTTGGGCTTGGCCCTCAGAAGAGTGGAGCAAGAGTTAGGAGCAAGTGCTCCTCACCCAGACTGTCAGAGGATGTGACCATCACTGCCTTTCTCACTTGTTTTTCAGAACAGCCCGGAAGGCGGGCGTGCCCCCCCTCCCTATGGGTATCAGCTGCAGGCTGCAGTCCCCTTGCCTGGGGATGAAATTCAAATCTCCCGCAGTGGCTTCAGGCCACTGTTTAAAAACTGGCTGGTCCTCTGCAGAGAGCTGGCCCTGCACAGTTCTCCAGCAGAGGCCAGCGCGCCTCTGGCCTCAGGGAAAATGCTGGGCTTCAAAAAAAAAACGGCGCGGTGCCGTGCCTCTCGGAAAGCCCAGCCCCAGCACCAGCAGCGCTTTGTGCCGGCGGCCGCTCGGCCACGCACCTACACCAGGTATCGCCCAGCTGACAGTAAAGGGCCTTTCCAAGCTGGGTCCTTGGTGGGACTGTCCCCTGTGGGCACTGTGTCCGTGTACCTGCTGGGGAGACCACACACTGCTGTTGAGGATGATGGGGCAGAGGGGAGGCGGAGTGGGCAAAAAGTTGCCTCTGTTTTAGCTGCCTAATGTCTGCTTGACCTAGTCATGAAGTCTTGGACCTAGCCTCAGTGTCCTTGACCAAGAGCCTCATCCCCTCCTCTGTCCTTCATTGCAGCAAACAGCTGCTGTCCTCATGCCCGGCATCTTCTGCTGCCCGGCTTGGGCTGGCCACCTCGCTGGCTGAGGCTGGACATGCCCAGCAGTGACCCGTGACGTCCCTCTGCTGCTCCCTCCCACTCCTCCAGCACAAAGCTTCGTGTGTGTCATGCTGCTGCTAGTCAATCTCCAGTATGTCACCTTCTCAGTAATATTCGATGATCTCAGTGCATGAAGTCTCTTGCTGGGCCCATTCCACTGTTAGTAACTATGGGTGTGTACCTATCCTCACGCACAAGCTCGGCGTTTCTGTGGCTTTAGGCCCCTTGGTTGATTTCCACCCACTCTGTTGTTGTCTCCATCCCTCCCACTCCTCTCGCCGCTCCCCCGGTACAAGCAGTAACACTGAACCCACAGCTCTTTCTGCCTGCTGGCAGGGGCGGAGCAGCTGAGAAAGCCTGGCTCCCACAGCCTCTGCTGTGCCAAGGCACAAAAAAGCAAGTCAGCATTTCCGACTGCAGCTGCAGGTCTCCCCGGCGAGACGTTTACGCAGGCTAACGCAGCCCGGTCCCGGGAAACAATTCTTCCTGAGCCCTGACATGCGCCGCGCACCAGGGCTCCCAGCAATGCACAAGTAAATTAACGGCTCCCCCGCCTCGCCGCTTCTTGGCCGCGGTCTACATAACGTTGGAGCCAGGATCACATTTTTTTACCGTGTGTAGGCCTATCCAGCGGCACCAGCCGCGAGCTTTTCGCTTTTTTCTACGGGTGTAGATAAACTACCTCTCTGTAAGCAGCGGCACCCGAGCTCTTGCAGCCGTAATTAGGGGTGAACTGGGTGTTGACACTCTTCTCAAAAAATACCTTTACCCTTCACTTGCTGTTGTAGAGTACATGCAGAGTTATGTGCTCATAAACCTGATGGAGAGGGAGGGGGGAGCGACTGACTTGAGAGCTGAAAGTTAGCTGCTATCTGATTAATATTTAAAATCAATAAATGGCAGGGGCTTGTCTGCTGTGTGAAGCTAGGCATGAATCTACAGAGTCACCTTTGAGTTTAAACATATTGCACTATGACCAGCGATTCTCCACAATACAGTAGGATTTATTAATAGAAAATATGTCATTATGAGTTTGTCTTTTGTACATGTTAGCAACATGTACAGTGAAACACATTTTTTTTTCTCAATCTATATTGTTATAGTTCTTTTGTGTTATCTGACATAACCATTTATATTTTGGGCTTAAATATGTTATTTGTCAAAATGTACTTTCAGTGTTAATATACCTTTAAAATCATAGTTTATCTTTTAAATATTGAATTCATATTATTTTTTTTCAAATCAATATTGCTCATGTTAGTGCAAATTTGTTAATCTTGAGATAGGTTAACCATTCCTTCCAGACCATAAACAGCATTTAATAAAACAGTGAGATTGATATAGCTCTACACAGCTGAACAAGATTCTAATACGAAGCTTGTTAAAAAAAAAATCCAACATTTTACAGTACATCAATTGCATTTTATACATTTTTTTGGAACAGATTTGTTTCTTCTCTATTTCTGTGTGTGATCTATTACAAGAAAGAAGGGAACAGCAATAGGTAATGATACTTTCCTCAACATTGAAAAGAATGCATCATATATATCTTGCTCAGTATGGCAGCAGTGTTGGATTTCCAAGCCTGGAAAAGAAGCCGGGTAATTCAACACCTTCTCGAAACCCAGTACAGCAAGAGTGAACGTCATCAGTCGGAGCACTTGCTACTACAGAGGAATGGAAACAAAACAACACAAACTAGAGACAAAAGGTATTTTACGCCACTTCATTGATCCAGAATCTCTCACTTGAGCAATGGTCTACATTTGACTCCGAGTAATTCCTAAGCGGAGCTGAAAGGGGGCAAGGTGGGCACTGCAGTAGTTTGAAAAATGCAAATAAATCCAACTTACAATAACCTCCTGTCCTAAGCACTTCTAACAGCACGGCAGATCCCTTCGGCCTGTCGGCCATCCTGCGTCTGGAGACCTGTGCCAGCCTGGTGGTAATCAGGCAGTCAAGAAGAACTTCAAGTTGCGAGTGACATTCTTTATTAAAAAAAAGTTTTTATACTGAAAAGGTGCTTTGTTCAAAATAGCACTGCAAATGTCACTTATTAAAATCAATGTAATAAATAAAATATAAACAACCTGTGTCCAAAACTATGAATAGTATTTTTATCTACCTCTCTATACATCTGGCCCACTCTGCCCCTCCCACCCACCCTTGCTTAAATTTTTCAAAAATTTTTTTGCATGCGATTTTTTTCCCCATTTACTACAAAGAGCAGATAAGGTTACATATCGTACACTGGGAAAAGCTGCCAAAAAAGATTAAACTATAGTCCTAGGTTACCGATAAACCAATTCTACGTCACGATACCCGCCTGCGTGAACTACTCGGGGCTGCGTCCCACGGAGCAGGCGACGACTTGCGAGAGACTTCTCCCCTGCGCACAGCCAGAAGCCTGCCAGGTGATGTTAAGACTATCACAGTGACTAATCACAGACATGTTTGCAACCTAAAATAAATTCCTTAATTGTAATTTGAGCAATTTACAACTACTCCATTTGTTGTAGGTCTTATGCTGTGATAACTGTGAGCTGTTGCCTGAATCAAAGAAATGAAGAAATACTATATTCTTTTTTTTTTTACTTCCAGAATTCCAAGAGCTAAGACAAATGTCAGCTCTTCTTTTGGCCTCCTACCCCAGCTTTCTCTCCTATTTTTTAATTAAAAAAAAAAAATCTCCGTCCCTTACATTTTTTATTTTTCAGGGTTTTACTTTAAATGCACAGAAATGGTCGGTATCTTTCATATTTGAGGAATGTGTTTTGCGTATAGGGTTTTCTTTTTGGTATGGATTAAAAGAAATGATTGTCCTAATGGTTCGGGAGTTGGACCCTTCTACAGCCTGAGGAGTCTGGAGACTCCAGACTTAAGTCTGTTGGGTCTTTGTTTTCCATTCCCTCAGGGAGACGGCAAGGTCAAACTCTGCCTTCCTTGAGCACTTGCTGGTTGATGGCTGGAAAGTAATGATCAAGAGATGCTATTTTAAAGGAAATGGCACCCGAGGGTGAAGGAGTCAGTGAAAAAAATCCGATAACCCCTTCCTTTGTGAGTATGTGGCCTAAACAATTTTGAATTTCTATCAATGGTTAAGAAAGTGAGTAAGAGAAAGCACATACTGGAGTTTCCACTGTCTAAAAAAACTGAAAATGAAACAAAAATTGAAGCTTGAACAAGGAAAACATTGGATGAAAAGAAGTCTTACGCCACACAAACGCACACGCTCAAACACACACACGCACACAGAATACTATGCATACGTGGACACACACAAGTAAGAATGTGTATTTGTATGGTAGGTCCTTGGAAATAGACATTCTTAGCAAATATGGATGACAGATCATTTGTAATTTATTTTCTTTTAACACTGTATCATCATAAAGAAAACTGGTATAAATGAAAAAATCTATTTCAAATATCTACATCTAAAATTTTAGGCAGTGAAAAAGCACTTTGTTGACAAGGAGTGTGGAATGATGAATGTTAATTGTCAGAAACTGCTGAATGCCTTTTTTTTAGTTGCCACAAACAAATTCACATATCAGAACGAACAATACTGCTAAATATTCCTTTTTGTTTTTTTGATTTTTTTTGATTTTTTTTTTTTTGTTAAAACGCACCGGGGAAAAAGAAACAAAAAAACTGGAAATTCGTACATCTTTCAAAATTTGAAATTGAAGCAATATTTAGAACCATAGATGAAGAAACACTGTGGCATTGGTGTAATATACACAATGCACTTGTTTGTTTTTTTATCTGTAATGTACATCAAATACTTTACAACAATGCATTAACAAAAGGCAAGAAACATCTTGCTGTACAGAGGAAACCCCAAATGCAACTTGAAGCCTAGATTCACAATGAATGAGGATATTAAACAAAGTGTGAGAAGCTGTTCCCCATAAAGTATGTACGCTGCTCAGTTATTTGTGCTTAACTCTTGACCCACACCCACTGTCATGTTCTCCCTCCTTCTTTCAGCCACATTCAATACACAGCACCAAACTTTAGACTCTACAGGCCAACAGTGAAGTTGCCCTACACTGTAAAATATATATATACGTGTATATATATTTCTTTCTAATTACTCCCAGGTTTAGCTTTCGTATCTTTTAGCCTTCTAAAAAAAAAATCTCTTAATTTTTCCCATACTGGTTATCTGGGCCTTCCTATGGAACAGGCTTTAACAAACTAAATCTGCAGGAAAAAAAATGTCTTGTGGTATGCATGCACATGCACAGTTCCTGGAGCTTTTGTATCTGCCCAAGTCTCAAACCCAGGAGTCGGGAGAGGCTGGATAGTGGCTTGTTTCATAGTTAAGTTCACTATAGGGACGAGCAGCTGAATAGAAGTCGACGTAGTTGCCAGTTGACTTTAGTCCCAGGTGCATGTTGTATTCGCTTGCAGGTGGACGATGATGCACTTGGTCCTCAAAGAAGGACTCATCATAGTTTCTCGTTGAGTTTTGAAACGGCTGATATGGTTCGTAGTCTTTTCTGCTGGGCTCCTGTGGAACTGGCTGTGTTGAAACCTGAAAGACAGAAACACCCAGGGCCTGTGAGATACAACTTACTGTGGGCAACGGGAGGGCAGCAGGACTAAGTCTCACTCTAGGTTTATCATGCTGGAAACACAAAGTTTATCTTAGTAATCTTGGGATCTGCTCAAGGTATTGCCTGGTAGTGAATTAATTCCTTCCACAGTTTTGCCTTGCCATTACATTTCTTTACATTTCTTTATGCAATATTGTTATCAAGTACATTTATTTTTTAAAGTTATTGCTGCTAACAGATGCTGGTTAATTTAAAAGTAATTCAAACCTGCATCTGAGCAGCGTAGCCTACAGTTACTTTTGTAACTATAATATGTGTATAACTTTCTATTTTGCAGCTATGTAACGCAAACATTGGTGGCCAAAACTCAGCCTTAAAGAATTTGAATGAAAGCGATACATACTCCAAAGATACTAAACATTTTGCAGCTGCCTTTGCCACAGGTGAGATGCAGAGTGACACCATATCCTTAAGAACCACTTAGAGTCTTCAGGGCACTGACATGAGAAAATTTCAAGCTCAGTGCCCTGAAATGTGTTCTTCAGCTACGGTTAAGCTGAACCATCTTCTTACCACTCCCGCAACACTTCATGTTGGCAATCTTGTGCTGTTGCTTCGTTCCATTTATATTTATATCAATAAATATTAATTTATATAACTTGATTTTGATATTGATATAATTTGATTTTTATACCAATTGAATATTTGAATTTGATATCAATTGATATCAATATAAATTTATAAATGTTTTCTACGTATCTCAGTGGAACACGACCTTTCACTCTATGTCACCTCTATTAAGTTTGGGCAGACTCTGCGACTGCGGAATGATACAGCCTTTCAGTCCTCAAATGGTCATACTGGGAATACTGACACTCAGATGTCGGTCTCCGAAGGCTCTCTCCAGCTCCTTCTGATTCTGCAAGAGCTAGTAATGCTCCTTCACAAAAAGAGGAACACTTGCACTTCTGTGTGCCAAGCTCTGTGGCATTCCTTCAAAGCATGTCTCTGTCGGACTCTACGCGCAGAGTGCAAGAGGCTGTCCAAGCCCTTTAACAGTCCTACAAGGGACCTTAAAACACTGGGCCCAGTGTTAGAACAGCACAAGGGAGAGTGACTGCTCTAGTTTCCAGTTCTAGTCCAGTTCTCGAGGTGTTTAGGACCTTGAGCCCCTCGGTTGTTTGTCACATATTCAAACACAGATGTTTAATTTTGGACACAGGAGAAAAATTCTGTACTAAACAACCCATATAGATGCCAAAAAGTTAAAGATGGCCAATTTTTGAGTAGAAAATAGGGAACTGAAGTAGTATTTCTGGGTTTTTTTTTTAGCTAAAAACATTACTTCTGATACGTCATTCGTAATAATGACATTTCATTGAGAAAGCAAGTGGGAAAAGATGGAAAACTGGGTTTTGGTGGGGTTTTTTTTCGTTTTTGCTCAAACTCTCACCCCAAAATCAAATTAGCTGATTCATGACTGCAGTTAGAGTGCACCTGCTGTTACAATACCTCATACCCTTATTTTCTCTAAATATTGTGTTAATTAGAAGGGCTTCATCTGTTCAAACACAATAAAAGCAGAACACCTTCATGCACTGAACCGGCTCACACGAAGAAGGAATGTGGTGCACCACAGCAAATACCGGCTCATTAAAAAGCAAAACCAATACAGAGAAATGGTGGCACAGAACATCAGAAACTCTCTTCACCTAAAGTTTGTGGATTAAAACTGAAATATCAGACTCTTAAATTGAAATTTCGGGTAATCCAGTAAAAACATTCAGAGAACAATTTTGTTTAACAATTTTACTAAATCTTCATTTAACTGTCTGATACTACTAATCACTTTAAGTGCGTTCCTTAAATGGTTTTTGGTCTCATTTCTCTAGATGAAAAATGCTGCAACTTTTGCGTATTACATAGAGAAGTTGTGAAAATATTAAAGAGTTGTGACAACTAAGTACAAAGTAGCATTACACATAATGATGAAACAAATGCCTGTGGCTGCAGAAAACTGTCTGACTGCCAGGGACCAAGGAAACACTGCACTGGAAATACCAGCTGTATGAGTGCCATACCTGTCAATATTGTAACTTGTTCTGTAAGTGCATTAGTTTGGCACCCACGCTGCCAATTACACTTTCGTAATGCCCACTTTATCCAGACATTCTTTCTGCTTTCTGGTTTTCAGGGACAGTGCATTTTAAGAGAGTCCCAAAGTTCTAGACTGAACGGCTTGGATGTATAAACGTGAGAAATCATCCCTGCCGATGCAATGCTACATTTCCTCTTGCCCACGCCCCAGTGCATACGTTAAAAAACAACCAAGCAAAAAGCCTTGTTACAGCCATGCTTCTGAAGTGACTAAATGGCAAATCTGAGGGCTTTTGCTGTACATAAGTGTAGTGTAGCATACGTGTCCCTGCAAAAGATACAGAGGGGTTCTTTCTCCAAGACTGTTCCATACACGAGTTTCTGCTAGGATGCCTCAGTAGGGGAGCTCTGTGGTGTCAGCTGTAGCGCTGAATTTTATGGCTATACTCAAGTAATAATATGTGACTGGACTTCACCAAACTGGTTGGCACAGGACATCAGGAGATACCAGAGCCAGCAGAAGTGCCCACTAACATTAGCTTGGCTCTTGCAGCGTGTGTGACACATACCCAGAACTTTCCAGGCATTCAGGTCTCAAGCTGCTCTTGATTTCACTACAAGTTACAGGCTTAAACACCTTATATAATTTTTGTGCATATGCCATCTAGAACAGTAACATTTTAGTCTCCTTACTTACCTGGTTATGTTTGATATCTTCAGCAGGTGCACCATATGAATTCCTGTACAAAGTTGAGATTCCAGTGTTCTGAGCTGGAGAGAGAAAAAAGGAAGGAAAAAGCAGGTTTACCAAAAATACCTCTTGGGCCTCAAAATGAACTCTGAAGGCTTCATTAAATACCTTATACAGCACCTGTTTCCCATACACAAAAATCTTTAAAAGCATCTGCAGACTTCTGTTTTCTCTTCCTCCCACTGAACATTCATTCTTTGCTTTGGTGCACATGCATGTATATGGTATATGCTTATTAACGCTATGTCATGTTCATATCTATCTTGTGCACTTCACATATAAATCAACAAAATAATTTCATACATACCTAGCATTCAGTAATATATTTCAGGTTATACATGGGATTTTATATCACACATACACTAAACAGGTAACAGCTGTAAATATTAAGAAACATTTCATTTCTTTCACTCCAGTTGGACGATCTTACACCACATCCTGGATTATTTATCCCACAGTGCTTTTGCTATATGGTGAAAATATTAATGGAAAAGGTGGTTAAATGCAACTGAAAAATGAGTTATGCAAAAAAGCAATATGTAGTTATACTGAAGAGGTCTGGCCAAGGTAGTCTCAACTCCATGAACTGCTGTCACTTTCTTCTCAGATGTCCTGCTACTAAAATGCACAGACAAAAGTGAGCTATGAGTTTGAAATCAGAAGTAAGTCTAGAGACAAGCATAACATCATACAGTTTTGCAAAAATTTAACTCCCACCCTCCCCCAAAAAACACATAAAAAGCTAAGGTTTTCGCCTGCAAAGTTGACTTCACTAATCATTTTGATTTGGCTATCCAGCTGAAGCTTAGTTTGCTGGTAGAATAATTTACTAGAACCACAGTTATTTCCCATATTTGAAAGACTGTGAGGGTAGTATTTTGTGTGGCTGCTGTGCACTGTTCTTACTGGGAATACAGCATTAACTTTCCAGATAGTACAACCAATGATTTGACGCTGTCATGAGGACTCTCATTACAAAAGCACGTGCCTGAAAGTAAAAATTGAGTAGCTGTGAATCAGAGTCATCAGTGGAACCGAAACATGTTGCTCACGCAACGTCTCTCAGGTCTCTGTGCAATGGTATAAAACCTGGAGGCACCATAAGTTGCTTCGCAACTCGAAACCTTTGCGGGTGAGGACTGAGCATCAGAGCTGAAAGCTGGGTATGGGATCCATGCTAGTCACATCACTAAGAAGAACCACAGTTACTGAAGAAGTAACCACTCTTTCTTCCTTTGGCAACCTGCTAGCATGGACCCCAGCATGCACAACTGCTTCTGTCCTTCCCCCAGCCACCGCACCCTCTCTAGACAAAGGAATGGCACGGTCTTTAGTCAAAGTTGACTGTAATAAGCCAATTCTCATCTTCACATCTGCTACGGGTTCCATGCTGAGGATATAATTTTTGTCAGAGGTTGGTGCACTGTTCCATGTTGCTGCTTTACAGATCTCAAACTGGTGTTCTTAAAGATCTCCAGCATGTTCTTGAAACAGGGTAAAGACAGGGCTTATATGATATGGTTTGGTAATCAGCTCTAACAGCTGGAAAAAGAGATTTTTTCACTTGATAACCATTAACTAATAGGGACGAAAAAACTCTCATTTCTTGAAGAGCCGGATGTAGTTACCAAGACAGTGCATAATCCTGTGTAGGAAATGGAGCAGAGCTCTGGAGGTCTCCAAGGAGTGCAGCAGGACTCTTTCTTTGAAGGTGGGAAGAATACCAACTCTACCAAAAGATGACGACAGGTCTTTTCCAGTGGAAGGTAGTCTTAATTCTGCCTGTGTCCCAGCACGTGGTAACAGATGGAAATGACGACTGCTTGAGTAGTTTGTCTTTGGCCATAGAGATGCTAGTACCGAAGGGCCGATCTGCAGAGATTCTCCCTGCTCAGACTGCATTTTCTCACCATACTTGACTGATGTGCGAGACTTCACTGTTATTTCAGGGTTGTTTATATTCCAGCTGTATCCTCTGCTTTAGTGTTTGAAAATCTCCCTCCCGATGACAATCTTTGGTGGTAGAGGAGTCTGCATCAGCACTGCTATTTATGGTGCATCTCATGACAGCGTGACTCCCAGGAGTACAACTGCCGGATCTTTCCTTGATACCGTCTTTTTTTATGCCGTTTTTCTGAGGTTTTTGCTTGTCCTACACAGTGCTAGAAAAACTTGGGTTATACAAATTCCTCTTCTCAAGATCTGAAGATACACAGAGTTAGTGTTTCAGCCACCCATTTTGTGAAGTGTTACTTCTTGGCTAAAAATGAAAATTAAATTCATTGTGTTGGACTCTCAGAAAGTGGGGAAGAACTTCTTGTAACCATTTTGTTTTCATGTATATAAACCGCAAGATAAGCACAGCTGATGTTTCATGCATGCAAATCTTTAGTCAGGCATGACTGAACATATTCAGTCCAGACAGGACAATACCGTTGATGGTTGGTTCATGTCAGGAATAAAAGATTGGTATAAGATGTGACATCTGAGGGCTTTATCAAGAATCTGATGAAAAAATGGCAAAGTGGATACATGCTAATTTATATGTTGTTCCTACAGGCAATCAGAGAGACTTTCAGGAGGGTCATGACCTTTCCATCTTTTTACAGGTATATAAAAAGGCACATGGTACATACGCGCCACTAATAGCCATGACTATTATAAAAACATACATAGTCCAGAGTTGGTGCATAGCTGCCCAGTGCACTACTGTGACATTTGCACTGATGTGCTCAGAATTGTCACATGCCAGATTGAAGACTTACAGTCTCCCAGATCACATATTCTGTGATGGAAAAATGGACAGTTTCAGCTTATGAGAATAGCTGCAAGGTCTGCATTGCTGATTTCACTGTGGATACAAATTTAGAAGTTTAATATGCAAAAAAAAGGTAGTATTCTTTTCTTAATGTAATAAAAAGAAATACAATGACACATAAAATGCTTGGAAATGAATGCCAAGAGTTGAAGAACAAGAAATCTTGGCTTAGTCTAGCAGGGAGGCTGAGATAATTCTGTCTCTGGAGGAAATGTAAGTCAAGCAATGTAGCTGCTAGCAATGCATGCAGCCCCGCTCCAGTACCTGCTTCTGAACACGCAGGCGGCATCCCTGGGAACTCCATTCCCGCTCTGCCGTGCTTCAGTGAGCAGTTGACTCTTGCTGTCCAAAAGCAGAGGGCAAATATAAAAGAAAGAAGGGAGAGAATGAGCTAGATGAATGGAAGGATATTGTGTGGTTAGTATCTGATTGTTTCTGTTAATATTGCATACGTACCACCACAGTAAAATTACCAAACCAAAAGAGAGATTAAGGCAATAATTTTCTTTTTTTAAACCATGGCAAGAGAAGGGAAAGGGGTACAGGGAGCAAGAGATTTTCCAGCAGCCACACTTCCTTACAGAGATGTGAGAATTGTAGCTGCAGACGAGATGATTTGAGGAGTGATGAGTGTGTGTACATGTGTATTTTATGCAGTATCTAAACATCAGTACACAATAGTACTGAAGAGGTATTTTTTACCAGGCATAATTGTGAAGGTTCTAAAATGAGTTCTGTGATCAACCTGCAGTACTCTGTGGTTGCATTGCATAAAGTACATTACAGAAAAATACCTTCCTTTTTTCCCCGTTTGGTATTCAAGGTAACATTGGTTAAAAAAAATAATCATATAGTTCCCCACAGTAGTTTTCTGCAAAGCTGACAACAGCTTTGAAAATTATGTCACTCACTGGTTTATGTGACAAAAATACCCCTGACCGAAGCCGTCCACATATATCCCAGTCACTTGATTCATGGTTTAACATTCAGCTTTCAGTTCTTGTAAGTACTTATTCTGAACACATTTACAGGCACTTTGAAATAACAAGGTGCTAGCCTTTTGCCCTCATCAAACACAGACTGATGGTAAGAAAGGAAAGCTCAGCTGGACAGGTAGTCATCCTCATCTGGTATTGCGCAACCTGCTTTTTCTGCTATAAGCAGCAGGACTCCATTTTCTAAAATTTAGTTCAAGACGGTAAAGGAAAATGCTTCTGCGCCTCACAAATCTCAGCTAACAGAGATCATTACCTGTAACTACCACTGCCACCTTCCTGCACAGTGAGAGATGAGGTAAGGGCATGAGAAAAGATTACAGTGCATTATGGTTTCTGAAAGCAGTAATAAGTTCAAGTAGCCTGCGCATCTGTAGCTGTTGCAGCAGGTGATGGTGGCTGGCTGCGTTCTGAATGTGCAGGGACTTGCAAGTATATTTAAGTAACAAAAGTATAGATTATTGATTCTTGATAACCAAAAGAAAATAAATTAATCAGAAGGTGTTTCTGCAGGTGGAAGTGAAGACACAGGGTGCAGACTGTGATGCAAGTATTAGTTCGGCAAGGGAACTAAGAAAGTAAAAGGAACTTTAGTGTAGGAGTCCCATGATAGCGTACAGTAAGCTTATCTTCCCTGTTCTGAAGGAACACAGCACAGCATAAATAACATTATCACATGCACTTATAGTTCCTTTTTTTTTTAAAGGAATGTAGTGGTTTTTGTCTTAAAAATGTACTTCAGGTGATAAAATTTTATTATTGGTCATTATTTTCTACAGAGAAGATAGAGAGTAAATATACCATACATCATAAACCTGGAAAGGAAGAGGGTAATGAGAACTTTGATATTGTTCCTCTATTTTTTAGCTGTCCTTGTGAAATCAATATAAGTTATCATCTTCAGCCAAACTGTTTGCTTCACAGATTCTCCATTTTTCCCAAAGGTTTCCTGACAACTCTCCACAATGGCAAGAAGCCAACATTTCTACTGCGAAAATCCATCAAAAAAACCTTCATTTTAGTCCCAGCCAAGAGGTCATAACATTTTTGAACTATAAATTGAGAAGAGCTTTGGAGAAGAGCATGGAGACAGTCATGGATAAATTGGGACTACAGCTGTGGCTCTACACGCTGTGTAAATCCGTGAGTCAGAGAAAGCTTTGTGTAATACATCAGCCTGGCACAAAATACAAGAGCAGCTCAGAATACGTATGCGCTGGGTGGAACCTGAAAAAACATTTATCTAAGTCCCATAGCCTCTGTGGATGTATTAGCTGCAATGCATTGTCTGATGCACAAAACTGAAATATAGGCATTGCAATGAACTTGCTACACAAACTTCTATTAGAACATCCAAGTAAAGTCAAAACATCTCACAATTAAAATCACAAGTACTGATTTTATATTGTTCTTTAATGTATTATTTATTTTATGAGCTACAAATATGTTACAAAAATTTCATGTCGAATGTTGATGAGTGAGACTCCTTCTAGCTGTCCATCCTTTTCTTTTGTTCTTAAAATGGTGCTTAATTTGAGCTCAAACCAAATGAGCTGAGATTTGGTGACCTGAAAAAGAGAGAAAGTGATTTGTTAATTTCATATTCATTTGTACAATGGTCATGTAAGATCATGAAATATTATTAAATTTTCAATTTGATTTTTGTTTTAATTTTTATCCCTGAGCTTACTAGCTGGAAGAACAGTTTACAGCTGAGCATGATGCTAAAAGTTTTGAGTTTCCTTACTAAAAGTCCACCCAAAAAGATCAGTAAGGACAGACAAAATGCAAGCAGATATTAAAGGAAAACATGATGCAAAAATCAAAGTGGAGCACAAGTTGCTGGAGAAGTAAAAACCTCATGATCTGAAAATTATATTGAAAGAGAAATGAAACAAGGAAAACAGGAATGGGAGAAGAAAAACACTACAGTAAAGGACAAAATGAAAAGGGATGGGGAAAAAGAAAACCCCATTTCTTTCAAGTGTGGAGAGAGACGGAGACCGTCTGCAAGGAAACACAGATTTTCCACATGGAACCTCCTTTTTTTGTGACCCTTCTGATATAATCTGGTAGTCTAAATGTGCAGATACAGCTAGAACAAAATGCTAATGTTTCTGCCTTTTCAGCCTGCTGCTCTTACTCCTGAGATTCCCTCTTCATGGATCCTTGACAAAGTGCTGGTAAAAATGCAGTCCTGTCCTTCATCACACAAGTAAGGACCACTGAAGTGGTTCAGAGAACCACCTTGCGCAGTGACTATGAAACACTCAAAATATTACAGATACATAAAATGCAGTACCTTGACTGAATACGCTGCAACCTCATGTAGCACGCTGCAGGCACCGTTCAGGACACTCCTGATTTCTGTGGTTTCCAAATGCTCTTGACTTTCATTCCTCTTCTTCAGATTTTCACTTTCATGCTAATTAATGTTCTGTATTGCATTTTCGCAGAAATTCAAAGGCTGGCCTTTAGGTTTTGATTACACGATAGCATATAACACAGTGGATGTAGTATGAGTCACATCCTAAATACAGTCTTGAAAGCTAGTATGGATGGCCCGAGGCCGAGTCAGCGTGCTACCGGTGTCCCCAGTGAGCTGAGACACAGAGACGGCCCATTCTGGCATCCTCTGAGCAAGACCTACATAGACGGCGCGGGAAGAGGTAACGGGCATTCTGAAAGTGCAGAGTGACTCCTCACTGTGATTTTTTGCTTGCCCTCCACTGGCATTTGGAGGAGAGGACACCGGGATGCTTGGCACTGTATAAAAGTACAAAAATGTTCAACAGAACTTATATAAACCTGTGCAATGGTGATGGAGACCAACACGTACTCTGCAAGAGAATCAACACAGAGATGCAGTACTAGACAAAGCACTCAAAATTTTATAATTACTGAAATGCTAACAGGTTAATGAGGTCACTAGGGGAGAGAAGCCTTCAGTGAAACCTGCAAGAGATGCCATAACATACACAGAGAAAATTGTTCCATTTACACCAGCCCAGCTGAGAAACTAACAGTGACAGACTTTACAAACTGCTGCCAAATTTCCTAGGAATGACTGATGTGCAAAATAAGATAAGCAGTCCTGGAAAGCCATTCCCTGCAAAAGACAGACATTAGGGATCACCACACATGCTCAACCACTGTCACGCTTCAGAAACAATGCTAGTTAATACAAGGTGGAGTTACTCACTTCCTTCTGAAACGAAAACAAACTTAAAATTCAAAAGAAATGTAAAATTGCTTTTAAAGCCTTTCCTCTGTGAAGAAACATGGTCTTCACAAATCATTTTCACATAGCATTGTATTCATTAAGATCAAATATTTTTTCAGTTGTTATTTCTCAAGGTGGCTACAACTTCAGAATCAACCAAAGCAGGCTGACTCTTTTCTACAGTACAGTAAACCCAGCCAAGCCTACAAAATCAGTGGTCTGTCACAGGTGACTGTTAGATACGCTATGCAAGCATAATCTCACCTGTCATGGTGTCTTTCCTAGAAGTGTGTTCTCCCTTATTTCCATGGTAAGTGGCGTTTGTTCCAGTAGATTCATAGTCTGTTTTTCTTTCTTTTAGGCTGATCATTTCCCGAGGTGAGGCTGGGGCACTTGCTAGATCATAAAAATGGATTTATTTTTTCTCTCCACAGATGACTGAATGTTATGTTTTAACTCTAGAGTAAACATTTTAGTAAAGTTTATATTTGTTAGCATGCTAACATTAAGCTGTTTGTAGAAACACTACCCCATTATAGAAGAAAAGGTGCTGTTATTTCAAATACAGGACAAATGTATTAATGGAACAATGAACTCCAAACATCATTTTCTCTCTGAACATTTTACTTTTTTCACTTACACCCAACATCTAAGAAGATCATTAAGAAAAAAGTACAATAATAAGGATTTTTTTTTCACCTTTAGCTTTTAAAATTCTTTAACTTGTCAAAACTTTCTGGTATAGGCACTTCCATTTTTTTCTCAGAGTTGTTAATTTATGTCTGTTGAAAAGACTATTAACTTTCAACTGTGTGGAAAAACCCTTATAAAATGGTTTCCTCCTTTCTCTGTTGAAAATAAACAAACCCATTAAAGGATCCTAATGGAGATGGGAAGAAAAGAAAGGTGTGTTCCACAGAAAGCAAAGAATGCTTAACACTTACAGGTAACTCAGTTTCTCCTTCTTTAAATATCTATGTATGAACAATTTTAATTAAAACAACAACTGCTACTTTAAGGTATCATTAAAACGAAATCCTTCATCATGAATACTCATGGTATTGCTAAAAGGAAGAAAGTACGAGGTGACTAGGAGGAGACCTGTTTTTGTACTTGGTTCTCACACGCTGGAAAACGTGAAGGTGATCACTGGCATTGATCATGAAGGCCTGAGAGCTTGCAATGCTTAGGAAAAGGAGAAAAGCAGAGCTAAAAATAATGGCTTTCAAGTAAACTGACTTAAGATATTTAGGTGTTGGTAGTTACAATGCACTTTCTCTGTTGTGGAGGGCAGGGGAAGGAGTACAAGGTGCGTGGCAGAGCACCCCAGAGCCTCGTGAAGGCACAGTGGTACACAAATAACTAAGGTGCTGGTACTTACTTCCGCTCCCTCCTCTGCCTCAACCCAGATATTCGATATGTCAGAGGAACCTCGAAAGCAGTAACAATGGCCTTGCTTAAAAAAAAGGGAAAAAAATTCAAAAAATATAAGACAAGCTCATTTGCGAAGCTTGATTGTGACTTGTGCCTTTCAGAACCTCTAAGCTATGTTGCATTTTTTAGTTGAGGAGCAGGGAAGCACTTGTACTTAATTAAGGGGCAGGGAAGCACAAGTGATGTTGAATTCTGGTTAGATTGGATCTGCTGACCCTGGTCTCTGAATTTACAGCGCAAATGCGGGACAGATGTTTTTTCTTATTAAGTCATTAGAATTGGGAATTGCTTTAAATTGCTTGTCAATAGTGACGGAATTCTAAAACTGATAATCCAGCAGATATCAAGAAACACGACATTAAATTACCAAATCAGCTAATGGCAGCTCGAGTCTAATAGGGAACAAAACAGAATGCAAACGTTGGAAACATTGCTAACACAGGGATGCATTTTGTTTCACATACTCTGGCAATGCTTTTAAGCACTCTGGTGTTTTGAACAAAATTGACTGGTAAAGACAAAACCATCTCTCTCTGCTCCCTGTGGGAATTATCTCTCTCCTCCCACACGAGAACAAATGCTTTCCAGCAAGTGTTCAAATCCAGAAGTGCCCTCTTTCAGAGGTTTTACTGGCAGCAGACATAAAATCATTGGTTGACATTAGACTGAGAAGTGATATCAAAGTTTTCTGCTCTTATTCTTAAAGGACACCGAAAAGAAGACAGAGCTCTCTATGCTAGTTAAAGCATCTTCTCACCCAAGTTGTAGGGACAGATGGGACATTTACTTCAACTATTTACCCCAAGGTAGGATCCAGTATACCAAAATAATTCTTGACAGATTTTCATCTAAAACTAAAGATCTCTAACGACAGAGACTGCATAACTGCTCCAAGCAGTCTGTTCCAGAGCTTTGTTTCCTTACTGTGAGGAAATGTTCCCTGATGTCTACCCTGACTCCTTGCTGCTCATTATTTCCATTTCTCTGCTATGAAAGTAGAGAAAGTTCATGCCATTCCTCTTCACAGCTGGCTGTTAAGTGCTTCAATATGTGGTGCGTACCTCTTCCAACTGCCCCCATCTTGTGTTTCTCTTATTGAAGTTAAACAATTACAGACCACTCCATGTGTTCTCATATCCCGATTTCTCCATCTCCTGGATCATGTGTGCAACTGACAAAAATCCCTAAATAATTTCTAAGAACTTTTGTCTAGCCAGATATTCTCCTTACAATTTATTTGTAAAGGATTGGATCTTTTTTCCCCCTTTGGATAGTATCTCAAATTTCTCAGGATCACTCTGAATTCCAATAATGCCCTTCAACGTACATGAGCCTCTCACAGGTTTATGTCACCGACAAAGGTAATAGGTACCCTTTGTATATTACCTGGGCCATTAATGAAACCACTGAAGAGCACTGGGCCCAAGGCAAATCTCCAAGCAAAGCATTCTTCCATTTTGGCAATAAGCATTACCCATTCTTTGCGAATGGTTTTCAGCCTGTTTTGTATTTACCATACATGACATTTTCTGGACCATTTGCTAGCTTGCCTATAAAAATCTTGTTTGAAATAGTCTTACTGATTATAGCAGATTTAATTTACTGACTATGCTTTCCACAAAGCACTTCAACTATGCTGTAGCAGGAATTCAGGTGGATTTTATAAGAACAAATCATATCCAGCCACTGTCTGGACTTGATACGTCCACTACCAGACAGATAGCAACTTATACTACTATGCAGAAATAGAGACTCCTAGAGTTAAGCACTTATGTTCCTACTATCTTTGAGGTGCTCAGATTGTGATTATTTGTTCCAGCAAACTTCTAAAATGAAGTTGAGCTGACTGGCCTGTAATTATATTGGCTTTTTTTCCTTCAGAAACAGCCCTTCCTTCAGAAACAGCCACTATATTTGTTCTTCTCCAGTCTTATGATAACTGATAACAGCAGTAAGATTTCATCCAAAATTTCTTTAAGTATGCTCTTTAAGCAATGGAGTAACAGAAATAAGGAGACAGTTCTGGCAAGAGACAGAACTACGATCTCAGGGCCAGACATTTCAAGTGCCTTGCACATACAGTCAAAATGAGATTTTGGAGAAGAAAAAAAGGAACACGAGCTCTTTAGGGACTTGCGTAATGACAGATTTTGAAAACTGAATGGCAGGTCTCACTGTACTTCAGGCTACATTTTCAAATTTCCTCAGTGGTTGTTCTGCAGGACTATAGATGCAGCTTGTAGACAATTAACAACAAAGTTTTCTTAAAAACAAAACTACAGCACGACGCTGACGGCAATAATCAGTTTGGCCAATTTTAATCCTAAACTCTTGGTATACCTGTGGAATGACAGCATTTGATCGAACAAGCAGTAAAAGGCACATTGAAAGTCTGACTGTTCTACTCTGTTTATCTCAGAACATTTTCACTGGGAATAGCTTTATTTGACCAAGGTATGTTCTACCTCAGAATAAGATGAGGGGAAAACGCTCAGATTTCTGAATAGAAAAATCAATTAACACTGCGGCATAAGTTGAAATACTTACAACAGTTCATTGTATGAATCATACAGAATCGATGATAGCTGGTGTAAATATGCCATCAACGTTACATGAAGACCTGTAGGCAAACTTCTGTGAAACTTACATACGCACGTGTATGCACACTTACACACACATAACACATCTAACCAGAATAAACGCTGACAAAAAAAAATGTGGATGCTTCAGCTTCTGCCAAGTGTCCAGAGTAGTCAGAAACAACACAGCGGTTTTCATGACTGGCAAAGTGAGTAACAGCATTTCCTCATGCTACAAATGGGCACCATTGCCCAGAGATCTATTCAGGTAGTCCCAATCAGGAAAACACTGCATAAGAATTCATAACAAAAAGTTATGGAATATTCTTTCTGCTGTAAAACGTTGCAAGCTGTTAGTAAAAAAAAATAATTCCTGTTTTGATCATATGATTCAGGTGAGAGTAAAGAATATATTTTGTGCCCTTCCATCACAGTTAATGACAAATCAAGACAGCAGTGACTTTGATTAAAGCAGGAATATGAACAGTGGTGGATTACCTCTGTCTTCACTTCAGTGCTGGAAGACTGGTCTTACCTGAGCGGTTGTTAGGAGACATGCGCACGGGAGAGATGGAGGGCGTGCGTGATGAAGAGTAGGGTCTTTGCCGATCCCTTTCTATTGTTGAAGATGAGGCTACAAAGTGATACTGCGACCATCCGTCCTGCAACATCAAACGTTGCGACAGCAGTCAGCGAAAACGCCACACAGTTCCCCATTTTAAGCACAGAGTATTTTCCTCTAGTGTTTTCACTACGTGTACACAAGTAGGCTGGTATCTTTTTCCTGCCACTGGCTGGGAAATATTCTAATGGTGCAGGATACAATGTGCTGACTGTACTGGCCCACTAGGAGAAACATTAAAGTGCAAAAAGTTCTGTAAAATAACACATTTCAGAAAGACTCAAATTATGAAAACACTGAACAACTTTTTAGGCTCTTTGTTTAACAGTTCTGTCTTTTCCCATGCCTCTGTTTTCACCCTGCAAATGGCATTCTGGCTATGAAAACATTCCAAATCATAAGACTGCTTGTTTCCACAGCAAAGATCAGTTTTTGCTTTAAATGATTTCTATCTTACAATGAAATTTTGGAGTAAGTAGATGGGGAAGCTCCAGGATTACCAAAAGTATTGTAACTATTTGGGTATCTATAATCTAGATACATTAACTGCCCATTTGTTCACACACGAGGGAAAAAGAATCAATGCATTTTCCTCGTTGCACTTTTCTCCGAGATCTACAGAAAGAAATTCTATTCCAGCTATTTAAAACTGTGGTAATGGTGATGTATTTGAAAAAAAAGAAACAAATACAAATACTAGAAACAGCTAGTTCAGAAATAAAAAAGGAGAGTTTAAATCGTTCAGGTTTAGTTCCTGTATCACAGTATAATGCAATAATGCAAAGTAATGTACTTTACATTTTTAAAAGAATATTAAAAATAGTTTGAAACTATCATGAGAGAATAAATTGACTTGTGCTAGTGCTCTTATTAAATGACAGTATTTCAAATGTCTTAAAGTATTGATAAACTGTCTTTATTACTGCTTAATGTTAAATCAGTAACACAGAGTTTTCCCAGTCTCGCACTGAAGGCATAAGCCTTTTAAAAATGCCTACTTTCTGTTGGGCTCAGTGGAAATTGAGTCAAGCACCTGGCATGGTGGTAAACAAAATTTTTGCAATGAAATGCTGAATAAAACCAAACACAATAAAATATTACCAAAAAAACAGCTGGAATTTTCCTCTTGCTTACAGAACAATAATTCCCTGTTGGGGTGGTAAAGAATATTCCCACCCCTGACCTCAGGCTACTCCAGATATCCAACCCTGAATTCCACGCTCTGCCTTTGCCCAAGGCATCTCTCTGACTTTGTTCCCTCCACACAAACCACAGGCACATGGCTCTCAGAACTGCAAGAGAAAATGACCTGAAAATCCACCTTTCACTCCACTTTTAAGAAAGAGAACTCAGCAAGAGTGTAATGCTTTCTCTTAAAAACAGCAGGAGGAAAGAAGATACTTATACTTGATGTAGAGGGAAATGTTATAAGTAAATTAGGATAGATAAATGTGACACCTAACTACAGATTCTGAATATCTCTACTCCTTACAGAACGCATCTGTATAAACACGCGTCTATCTCAGTCGTACTTGGGAAGGGGAAAAAAGGAAGAGTGAAGTCCCCGCCAGGGCTTTCACAGTCGAGTCAGGACTTTCCCTAGAGTGAACAGTGAGCGTTTGTCCATGGACGTCACTCAAGTTTAGGACACTTCACTGAACTGCACCTCATACTTTATGACCGTCATATAAGAAAATATAAGGGAGAAAACCAGTTCATTAATAAAAAATAGTAAGAGTAACATAAAAAAAGAAACAGTTAATGTTTAATAGCACTTGTTTCACCAAAAATTCATTTCCAACCAGCAGCCGCTACACAAGCCATGTCCTCCAACTTAGAGGAAGGATCAATGGGAATGCAAACAAAACCACCTGTAAAGCCCTAACTTCTTAACATTAAATCAAATTTGAATTTATTAGAAACTTTTCAATATATACACATATATGTAATATGTATATATAATACATATATATTTTTAAAAATAACTAATAGCTTATGGTTATAATGAATAGCTTAAGTCCAATAATCTTATCCAAGCATCAAGATTGTAAATAACATAGCATTATTTTTACATCTCCTGTTAACAACAACTTGCATGGTGATTTCTCTAGTATAAAAATGAACTCTGTTACAGTTCTGTGATCATTTATTTTCTGTTAAACAGACTGCTGAAGAGGAAGACACCAAGAGGACAGGCTCTATATCTGATAAAAGGAGAAGGAATAGACTATGTATTACTGTCTGCCTGCAAAAGGAGGAGACATCAGCCACGTTTACATAGCCCTAGTCAGAAATGCTTCCAGCTTTGTGGATCTGGATGCATGCAGGGCCACGTACACTCAGATTTTGGACTCTTGCTTCGCTCAAATAAATCCCTGGCACGTGGGTCAGAAAAAAAGTGACCTGAATCTTCCCCTAAACCTTTCTTCCTGTTGTCTGTCCCATCTGTATTGTTTACATTAATACCTAGACCCTGGCTCTGATGGGAACTAGATGAAATAAATCCCCATTATCGGCACAGTCCCACGGACTCTGCAGGAATAGCGCGTGGCACCAGTGTTGCTCTGCAGAATGCCAATAGGTACCCTGTCAGCACTGCTTCCTCAGAACCAGCATCGCCAGCTGCCTCAGCAGTCCAGGAGCAAAATCCAGCTGTAGCTGGGACGCTGGCAACAGCGTTCTGCTGTGCAGCAGATATCTTTCCTTCTCCCCCTCCCTGCAAATTTATGTTTTTCTCTCTGCTGAGAGTAGTGCCTATAGTGAGGTCTTCAAATAAAATGTGCCACAAACTCTCAAGTTTGGAAGCCTGATCACCTCGGTAACCCAAGTCAGGCAAACAATAAACTCTAACAGAAGTATCGTGGTGACTTGGCATTGCTTTTGACTAAACCAGGCATACTGCTGTCACTGTGTGACAACCTTCGCGGTGTTTTTCAACAGCATTATGGGCAGTTCCCAGACCTCGCAGTATTTGAAAACCCTAATACTTTTAAGTCATCTATCTTCAGCTCTCCTCTGCTGCAAGGAACAAGCTTCTTTCCTTGGAAAGGTAAACAGTTTGTAACAAATTCATTAAAACTATCCCCATCAACAATTCCAAAAGCTATTAGCATTAAATATTGAAACTAATTTTTAAGAGCCTAAAGGGAGTATTTTCAATTTAATGCCGAGATAAATACCACCTGACGTGATGGCTGCTTTCATTAGTTTGTTTCAGCTCTAGTGCTTGTAATGAAATTTAATTAAATTGATTTGAGTACTTAAAGGTACAGTACATAGCAGTATGCTGCAGAGAAGAAAGCTAACTCAAAAGCAAAGTGTGTGAGACTGCATTTCAGAAACCAATTTACCAGCCACAAACATGATCTAGGAGAGGAAGAGTAAGTCAAAAAGATCTGACAAGTTGGAAAGAAATTCAATGCAATTCTGTTAACGAATGGATGCATTTGTTAACTGGCAGCAATTAATCAACTGGTGCTAACTGCACACCATGGGAGGACACAGAACAACCAGACTACAGAAATACCATCTATGTCCTTGTCGTCTCTTCCAAGGTATCTTCTACTGGGCATTTTTCTATATTTTGACTGTAACAACTATATATGTATTCTCTCTCAGCTATACTCCACGAAGTCCAAATGTTCAAGCTTGATTGGCAGTGACATGTTTCTGACAATACATTTTTGGGAAAGCTGCCAGGATTAGATAGGGGGCAGGGGTAAGATAACCACTGTAGAAAACAAAAGTGATATTGTAGTCTCACTGCTCACCTTTTAGTGGACTTAAGGAGTGAACAGGTCCTTTGTCCCCCTGCTCAACTTTACGTTATTTTGAAAATAAATCATTTTCTTCAGGACCACGGGAAATAATTGTTTTGTCAGGGTGACTAAACTTACTGTGCCAAACACCACTTGCATAGGTATCTTCTGAAAACATTTAATGTGGGTTTTCCACACTATTCTTTTGTGTGTGTGAAATGCAGGGAAAAAGAGAAAGTAGTTTTCTATTGTGCTTGCAAGAATTTCAAATTTTCAGAACTCTCTGGTGGCGGAGTCCTTGACTTGAGGAGATGATTTGCGGAGGTGGGTGATACCAGACACACCATTTTCTCACTCGCAGTACAGTAACACTATGAGGACTGAATGAAATTAAGCCCTGATGGGAACTGACACCATGCTGACACCACAGGAGACCAGAGCTCCTGCCTGAAGAATTCACAGATGAGCGAGAAAAGAGAGGGGACCTGACACGACGTGGTGGCCAAGCAGTGTGTCGCGCAGTTGGGAAGGAGGACCGACATCGCAGCCTCGGTGGGGTGCCCAGCCTGGGTGACCTCATGGCACCCAGTCAGAAAGGAACCCCACGGCAGCTCATGTGCTAATAGCCACACAGGAAAAATAAGGAGCAGCCCTACCCTCTGACTGATTAAGCTGATCAGCTGCTGGGAAGACAGTGACTTAAAAACCAGAGTGGTTTAGAAAAACTGTACCATAGCTGCATGCACACGAATATCTTTCAATGCTGAAGTGCAGAGTCTGCCCTGACCCCTGGCCACTGATGTCCTCACATTGTCAGGAAGAAAGAGAGCAACTTCTCAAAAGCAGAGAAATCCCACTAGGGAAAAGAAACAACAATGATGCAACAAATCCAATAACAAAACAGCTAAAACCTAAGAAACTACTGAGAGTGTTCTGACCTGCCTTGCCCAAGTTTACAAACTCTCCAGCATGTTACTTGTCTCAGGTCTGATCCTCTTCTGACGTGATTTAACAGACATTTTTCCAAATGACCTGACGCATACAGGACCAGACTTGTTTTGTCATTCTACTCCCTGATCTGTAAGCCAGCATTTTACTGGTTCCAGGAATGAACTGTAATAATAACTGCTCCTGTAATGGTAATAAGCTGTAGAAATGTGAAGTTCTGATAGCCAAGCACTTGCAGGAATCAGTAACTAGACGCACCACGGTATTAGAAGTAGGTGATACAGCACCAAGGCGAAGTGCCTGTAAGTATGTAACGTAGGATCGCGTTGAAACC